TTCCTTCCTTCCTTCCTTCCTTCCTTCCTCCCTCCCTCCCTCCCTCCCTCCCTCCCTTTCTTTTCCTTCCTTCCTCTCTCCCTCCTTTCTTTCTCTGTCATGTTCAGTTTACTTTCATCACTGTAATGTACAATATGCAGGTTATTTTTTTAACCGTATAACCACTGAACTATTTTTGTTTCTTTGTTGGTCTTCATGACCACTATAATAATAAAAAAAAAGAAAAAATTCTACACCACCATCCTGTGAAGTCAGTCATGATTATGTATTTTATTTATTTCTATTGATTATGAAAGCTTCTGCACCACTCTGATCATGAAACCGCATGGGGTTTATAAAACCAGTCTTGCCAGGTTGTCGTAGGCCTCTGTCTCATCACAGCAGGGGGAACAACTGTAGGTCTCCTGAGCTTGCTGAATTTCAGTGACTGTTGCTGGCTGGGACTGCTGGGAGCTGTAGTTCTATAGTACCAGAAGAACCAGATTCTCTACCTTTGTTCTAGGAATTGGGCACACAAAACATATATGATATGCCTTCAGTTGAGTCCCTTCTCTCATCAGCTGGACCTCAGGAAAATTGCCAGCTAGGTTTCCCAGAATGCAATGGTTCTTTGAAGGAACTGTGGTCAATTGAAAATGTCAGCGGTCTAATACTGTAGGAGAAAAGAGGGAAAGGATTAATCCTGGAGGGACTGTGATTCTGAAGCCATTGGAAGGGCTCTGAGGGATGATGACCCTGGATTGAAACACTACATCATTTCAGATGAAGCACTCAAGCTAGGAGAGTGGCTTCATTGAAACTAACAACAAGCCACGATCATTTGTGAAATTTGTGTCAGCTAAATGACTGACAGTTGCTAGGAATTCTGGGAGTTGTAGTCCAATGCACCAAAAATGGCCTTGAGAAGACATCTAACTTGGAAGAAGACTATAGGAGTGGTTGCTAATCATGTGCCCATAGACGAGGAAACCACCAGCTTGGATTCCCCAAAGGAAGCTTCATTTCATGCCCAGTTGGTTCTTCATAGCCTGGAGACCCTCCACGTTAATGCCACTTCCCCCACACACAATGATAACTATGGAATCCAATGTCTTGTTTAGCCTCTCCTCTTTCTGCAGTTGCTGTAGATAGCCTGAATATAGGAGGGCCAAAGAGGCACCACAAGCTGGTTCCACCAATATGCGCTCATCATCTGAGGAAAGAGACAAGAAGCAACAACAGCTGGTCAGGAAGCCAGAAGCAAGGCAGCCAATCAGGAAGAAGTTGTAATGGCAGCCAATCAGAAAAGCAGAAAGAAGGCACCAATCAGGAAAACAGAAGCAAGGGCAACCAATCAGGAGCTGGGAGGTCTGAATTCTAGAGGGACGCCCAAAGCATTCAGAGCTTCTAAGCTGGGTCTTCTGCATGACCTGAGGGGTGTGTCCTATTTTATAGTCTGCTACTTGAAGGGGTGTCCAGTTGGAAGAGCCACCAGAAGACAAAGCAGGTATGGCCTTGAAGTTGCCCATCCAAACTGGACAACAGTTGGGCCACAGCAGAGCTCTGAACAGACTTCCCCACAAGGGTGAAATGGTTTCTCTTCCCATCTGGATTACAGTCACAGTTTTTATATTTGCATGTGGGCCTCTGTATGTCCATGGTCAGATTTACAGTAATCTGTATCCTTTCTCTCTCATTCTCCCTTGAACAGTGCATATGACTAGCCCCACCCAGGACCCTACCTCTGAACAATTCTGGTGCCATCTACCATCCCCTCATCTCTTTACCTTCATCTTCCAAACCCAAAACTCCCTCAAGTTGAGCTTGACTTCTATTGGCTTCATGAACACATCTGTATCATTTTTCATGTTGTTTTTTGGCCACAGTCAGGGTGAAACTCTAATACAGAAACCAAGATCTCATCCAGCAAAATAAGCAGCAACACAGTCCCAAGAAACAGGCTGGCTTGCTACATTTTGAAGTAGGAGAGTAATATGGATTGCCATCAAAAGAGGGAGGAGTGAAAAGACCATGTTGAAGTCAGTGATGTCAGTATGTAGACAGACACCCTGCAAGATCTCTAATCCCAAGTCTAAAGTAACTACATTGCAGCCTGAAGCTCATTTCCATGGTCACCTGGGTCAATTCCTGTGAACGAAAAGCAGGTTATGTTGCTCTGAATGTGCCTTCACTTGTAGGTGACTTGCTGTTCATGAACAACCACAAGGCTAGAGTATAGTTTTCAACTATGTAGAGACCCAAACACAAGAACTAACCACTTGGGGAGGTTGTCTGATTGAAATTATTTGATTTGTCAGCAGCTCGGTGTAAAGTAAGTCTGACATTCCAGGATCAATCAAAAGAAAACAGGAAAGGATTGAGTATTGGGGAAGGCTGTTTTAAGCACACCACTAAGCATTTTCCACCCTAATGCCATTTTTGGTCTAACTTTGCATAACTTTAACCCTGTTTTGATTCCTTTCTCTCTCCTTGATAATTTGGGTTTCTTTGGCTAATTTTATCTTGCCCTAGGTTTGAGTAAGTTTTAACTAAATGTTAGGTTGTGTCAGTAGATGCTTAATTGCAAGCCTTTTTTAGGGACTAAAAACCATCATTATTATGAATGAATTGTCCAGCTAAGTGGCAGCCAACCTTGGCTGGTCTCAGAAGGTCTAAGGAGGGCCACTACATGGTTAGTTTTTGGATGGGTGAGCATCAGGAATCCTATGTGTACAGACAAGACTGGGAAGACAACAAAATACATTCTGAAAGCAGGCAATGGCAAATCATCTCTATATGTTGCCAAGAAAATGATATGGAGCCATCCATGAAGTCACCAGAGGTCAACCTTGAATTGAAGGAGACTCTACCTTTTATAAATGGATCAATGTATTAATCCATAAAATAAATAGGTGATATCTATGAAGATCTGGACATACTCATGTAGCCAACCACAGGAGGTGTCCAGTCAAACAATAGAGACTCTAGAGTTGCTTCTCTCTCTTCAGGGCTCAAAACACCACCCAACATCCTGGTCCCATCTCTTAGTCCCTTGCTGGGACAACCTCTGAAACTCACCCAGAAATTGCTCTACGGCTTTCACAGCTTCCACATCCTCCAAAACTTGAGAGATGACTGGACATTCCTTGGTACAATCTAAGGCCCTCTGTGCCACTGTCTTGGCCCCAAGGCACCTGGCCACACTGCAGAATAAAAAGCAAAAAAGAAGCAGACCAGAAGAGCAAGTGTAGAAAAGATCAACTCCAAAGATCAAAGGAAGGGTGGAATTCCTCTACAGTTTCTTCAGGCATGTATTCCATTATTTCCTCCCTCTGTCACAGTTCAGTTTTACAATTTAGAATAAGACTGTAAAATCCTGGATGATCCACTATGGTTCAAGAAGGAAAGAGAATGGCTGGAACTTCTGCTTTGACAACACAATAGAAGCACCCAAAATTACACCTCAGGTTGGGTAAAGTGGCTTGAGAGATGTTGCCCTCCATCCTTCTTAATCCTTGAATCTGAGTCATCCAATACAATTAAATGGAGACTAAAGCTAGATGAACTTTGCTACCACGAGCTGATTGTTGATATAAAAGGGAATTAGAGTAAGTCAGGAACATACTTGCCATGGTTACTACTAGCCATAATTACTATATATGACCTTCATGACTGGAAGGTCCTTGCCTTTGATATTGGTTGCTGAGCAGGAAGCAATCTTGTAATTGGTGGGTGGAAACCCTGAACTCCAGTGACATTGGTGGAGACCCTGCTAAGTGGTTGTACTTTTAGGAAAATGAATGGTGCTCTCTCACTGATTATGTTTTTATAATTTTGATAGTTTCCTTGTTTTTAATGGCCTTTGCGGTTATGTTTTGGGTGGATGTTGAAAAGCGTTCTGGATTTTTAACTTGATAAGTCACCCAGAATCACCATGGTGAGATGGGAGGCTATCTAAATTTAAGAAAGGAATAAAATATAAATGAATAAACAAGAGCAATCTTGCTAGCAAAGCATGCATTGTTTTGTTGGAATATTATGCTCTGTGGTGTTGCATGACTCTGTATTTTATGTCATGAGCCATTTTTTGCTCTGGGAACGCTGCAGGATTGAAAAGGTAGATTTCAAGGAGAAAGGGAAGGAAGGAAGAGGATTTCTTCTACAACCTGGGAGTGAAGTTCAGGGCCAGCCCAGAATGTACCTGGTGATATCAGGCAAAGTGACCAGCTGCCCGGCTTTGATGGCCGCATTCAAACTGTCAGCACCTCTGGTCTCCACAGCAATGATGGGGACATCTGGCCAGCCCACGTCCTGCAAACCAGAGGCCACTCCAGCCAGAAGACCACCTCCTCCCACCGAGAGCACAATAGCTCCTGGTTTGGTCACCAGGGAATTCTTCAGCTCCTTGATAATGGTGCTGTGTCCTTTCCTGGAAGGAGAGGGAAAACCCAGCTTATTCAAGCAACTCCCCAAAGCTGCAATTTGGGGGGAAATCTGTAAAAGCCAAGAAGTTGTCAAAACCTGAAATGGATGTATGTAGCCATCCCTGATCTGTAGACCAGTGTTTCTCAACCTCAGCAACTTTAAGAGGTGTGGACTAAGGGTAGAGTTGGACACATTCATTTAGCTTCTATTAGACTGACTCAGCTAACTTCCCACTTTCAAAGCAATTGGCCCATTTCCAAATTTGACCATGCTATTTGTCTCCCCCCCCCCCCCCCCCACTTTTTTTAAAAAAATGTATTTGGGGAAAGATTGCGCAAAAGTGCCTAAAATGATGTCCAAGAATGCAGGACATTGGAGAAAATTCTTTGCAACAACCACAAACAGTTGTCTGGAAAATGAACTTCTGTCCACGGCAAGTGACAGATATCCAAACCCAAGAAATTCTGGTAAAGGGGTCTAAGCGTACGGAGACTGCTTATATCTGATGAGTCTCACTGAAGATGAAACTGGTTGCATAGTGTCTCCTACTGGTCAGTAGCAATTATAACATCTGTAAAAGCCAAGAAGCTGTCAAAACCTGAAATGGATGTATGTAGCCATCCCTGGTCTGTAGACCAGTGTTCTCAACCTCAGCAACTTTAAGGGGTGTGGACATGCTGGCTGGGAGAATTCTGGGAGTTGAAGTCCACACCTCTTAAAGTTGCTGAGGTTGAGAAACTGCTGTAGACCATCCCTGGTCTTCAGATCTTCTCCTATTTCTGCAGTCTGGTTCACCTGACTGGTCCACCTCCCTCAGCACATTGAGAGAGAACCCACCAATGGCAAGAATGGTGGGTTCTAGTGGAAAAATCTCAACATTACCCAAGAAAGGGTTTATGTAAGTTCTTAATAGACATGTGCATTTTCCACAGACAGAAATGATTTCTGAATCAAATTCCTTGAGGAGCAAAACAAATGGTTACACACATGAAATCTATTCTCAATGTAAGATATCTCAGGGGTACCAGCCGTTTTACAGCATGGTGGCTTCAGAATGTTGAGGTTCTGCCCTATCATTAGCTGGAGGGAAGCAATCATTTCAGGTGACCATTGTATAGGCATGAAGTTCTCACTTATTTTATTTCTTTTATTTAAAACTACCAGGGAGAAAGAAGAGTCATTTGTCTCCGTTCCCCAAATTAATTTGATTGGCCTCGGGGAAGCATCCAGCCTTCGAGATGGAAGAACTGCAGTCTAGGCAGCCAAATCTCTTAGCCTGGGCCTGTTCAGAAAATATGGAAGTTGATCTAGCTGAAGTCCTCTGAGAAACCTGATCGACTCTCCCAAAAGGTCCTCAGCTGAGAAGGATTCAAGGAATGGCCATCTTGCAATAGGATTCTTACCATACTAGAGGGTGATCAAAAGGAGGGATGTTGACCCAACCATCTGTTTTAGCTAGTGCCACTGCTCTGTCATTGGCATCGTCCCACACCTACCAGGATGAGAAACAGGGAAATCCTGAATTCAGCAGAAAACACTTCCAAATCGATAGACATGACACCCCCTAAATCACTCGCCCAACTAGTAATGCTTTATGGAACTTGGACTCTGCCAATTCATTTAAAGTAGGACAGCATCTTCAGCTCAGTCTTGCTCTAAACCAGTGTTTCTCAACCTTAGTAACTTTAAGAGGTGTGGACTTCAGTTCCCAGAATTCTCTGCTTTTTAGATGGAGAACCATGCTCCTTAGTGGGGGCTAGAAGCTGTTCCCCACTGGAACATAAGGGGGCAAAATGTCATTTTTCAGACCATGTTTGTATCATCATGATCATCATGATCATCACCACCGTCACCATCACCACCACTGATACAGTCTACCAAGTAATTCTGACTTATTACTAGATTTACATCCCACCCTTATTTTATGCAATTGAACATAATGCTGCCTCCTTCTATTTTCCCCACAACATCAACCCTGTTGGGTTGAAAAGGTGTCAAGCTTTCATCCCTAGGGGGGAACTAGAACTCACAGCCTCTCGGTTTCTAACATTTAAAAATGAGACCCAGGATAGGCATTGAAGCCTCTGCAGTTTTCCAAGTTGCCTTCGCTGTGGATGCTCTAACCGATTCCCTAATTCTGGAGTGTTTTAATTTTCCCACTGTTACCTTCCCAAATAACTCCACGTCCGCTCCGTACTGCTCAAGCCTTTTTATCGTTGGCTCTATGGTGCCTCTGGGGACAACTATTGTAGCAGGCATTCGGAGTTCCCTAGCAGCGTAGGCTGCAGCCAGACCAGCATTTCCACCTGCAAGGATTTGGAGCAGGAAGAGAGAAGAATTGCTTTCAATGGGAATTCTTGATTGATCAAATCAGTCAATTGCTAACTTGCTGCACATCTGCATTATGAACCTTTTTGTTCACAGGTGGATACACTTCCAGACTAAATCAAATTCAGATGCAACAGTTCTTACCTATGAAGGAAGCCTGCAGCCCAGGGTGTTTGATCCTTACAACAATATAATGGAAACATTTTACAGATAGTCCTCGACTTACAACCATTCATTTAATGACCATTCAAAGTTACATTGGCACTGAAAAAAGTGACTTACGACCAGTCCTCGTGCTTATGACGTTGCAGCTTCTCCACAGTCACCTGACCAAAATTCACATGCTTAGCAACCAGCATGTATTTACAATAGTTGCAGCATCCCAGGTCACGTGATCGCCATTTGCAACCTTCCCAGGGGGCTTCCAACAAGTAAAGTCAATGGGGGAAGCCAGATTTGCCTAACAACCATGACAAAAAAGGTCGTAAAATCGGGCACGATTCACTTAACGATGGCATCGCTTAGTGACAGAAGTCCCAGTCCCAGTTGTAGTCATAAGTCCAGAACTACCTGTACATATGTAGGCTGCATTTGTATGACAAACCTTACTCAGTTGCTGAAATAATCTAGCATGCACAAGTCAGTAAGTATAAATTAACTACATTTCACGTTTACAAGTGACAGACATATTTTACAATAATATTTGGCGCAAGGCTGCCATTGTCCACATAGCAGAAGGTTAAGACTTAAAGTAAGCAGCAGGTCAGTGCTATCCAGTGGTTCCAGTTGCAGATGTGTTGAAAAGCCAGGGAAATGGAGCAATTATTTACCTGAGGAGCAGACCAGATGTTGACAGCCCTTCTTAACGACCTGAAATAGAAAGCAGATTTTTTTCCCCCATCATTTCCACTTGTCCTTGAAAAAAAGAGAAGGGCTTTATTGTGAGGTGCAGAAAGTTACCAACCCAAACCAGAAGTAACTTGACTTTGGTCTGCGTTTTGGGTCTTACAGGTGATTCACCTGCATCCCACCTGTTTCCCGTATGCAGGTGAGTCTCTCCCACTTTTTCCTGCCAGGCTGGTGAAGGAAACAGCAATCTTGACCAGCATCTCTTGCCGGAAAGGAGAGAGGTTGCGTTCTCATTCCTTACACTGAACATGGTTTAAGGAAAGATCCCTGTTTGCCTGCTGCCAGTAACAGAGATGAAGCTGTCTTGCTTGATCAGAACTCTGATGATCTGTAGCCACGCATTAGCTTGTTTTAAACAATGCATTTGAGCTTATCTTCCTGCTACGTCTCCCTCTTTTAAAATCAACATCATGATTATTGATTTCTATCCCACCTTTCATTCAGGAGTTCAGGGTGGCATACAAACCCCTCCCTCATCCTCTTTTCCCCTACAGCCACGGCCCTGAGATTGGGCTGAGAGACAGTGACTGACCAAGAACTTCCATGGCTGAGGGGAGAATAGGCCTTGGGTCTCCCCACTCCTAGTCCAACATCTTCACCATTGAACCACCACGGCTCTTGGACTGAGAAGGAGGGACTGGCCCAAAATCTCTCAGGGAGCTTCTATGGTTGAAGGGGAATCACAACATGGGTCTCCTCACTCCTAGTCCAGCACCTTCACCACTGAACATGCTACCTCTTGGACTGAGAGGAAGGGACTGGCCCAAAGTCTCCCAGGAAGCATCCATGGCTGAAGATAGGTTAGAACCAGGGTCTCCATTCTCCTAGTCCAGCATCTACACCACACTACCCCCCACCCGAATAGGTTTCTGCTGTACATATGTGCATGAAATGAAAGTTGGCTGTGTCAATTCAAACTCAACTTAAAACAGATAAGATATAAACCACAGCTCACTAGAGCAGCAATTGATCACATAATGAATATAATCTTCCTAATTTTGCCAAGATAACAGTCCCCAAAGCACTGATGTCACAAGACCAACAAATTCTTGTTTCAGTTTAGGCCACTGTGAATAGCCCCAAATTTCTGGATGGAGCTAAGGTGGGTTCTTCAGGTTGGAGTCTTCCTTGCTGAAACAATGGTAACCTTCTAGATTTAAACCTTCTAGCCTATTGTCTAAGACAGTGTTGTCCAAACTTGGCCACTTTAAGATGAGTGGACTTCAACATGGCTGGCTGGGGAATTCTGGGAGTTGAA